AATCAGATTATTTACCAATGACTTTCCTAATAAGTGTTTCTGTTTTCTAAATAATAGTTCATGGTCATTTTTGAAACATATGTTGATAATATAATCATGCCCAAAACACAGATAGTGCAAATTAAGACCAAACATCTCCTATTTCTTATTTAGTAGAACATGCTTCGGGCAGAAATATGATCAGTGACTTCTACGTACTTACTAAAAGAAACATTCACACTATCTTAGTTCTGAAGTCACACTGACGTGATTTCATGTCATTATTCTGAGTATGAAGACATACAACTAAATGTTTTCCACAGAAGAAAATATTTATAAAACAGACTATCATCACTTCAGAAGAAATTTAGACTAGCTTCTAGAAAGAACTTCTTAATTATGATAATAGAATATTTAACATAGTATAAAATGAAGTGAAATTCTGATAAGTAGTAGCATAACACTGAATTTTATAACAGTTGACGTGAGAAAATCTACCTCAGCCCAGTGGTTTTGAGCCTCAGAAACTCTCCCTCCCCGCCAGGGTTAGTACAAGGTGAGGTTACCAGTAAAAGGCATGGCATGGACAAAGGACAAAGGAAAGAAGAGAGATGATAACCCCAATAAGCAGAACATTGTAGAAAGATCACATGGCTCTTTGAAGTCAGACCTGGGTTTAAATCTCTGCTATGCTACTGTTTTATAGGTTTGTGAAGTTTCTTTACCTCTTTGGGTCTTATTTTTTTCCCTACCTCAGAAGATAGTAATGAGGACTAACATTTTATACACACACATACATATATATGCATATATATGTATGTATATATGTATGTATATGTATGCATATATGTATACATATATATACATGTATACACACATACAGACATATATATATGGTTTTAAGTTTCAGATAATGGCAGTACCTGCAGTTTATTATTGTTATTGTCATTGGCATCATTTTCCCCTTGATTATTAGAGCTGATTATTCAGTGTCCTGAGGCCTGTCTCATCTCCACTCACCTTCCCTTTGGCTACTGTTCTTTACACAGAAATCTTTTCTTGCTGTATGGTTGAGTACCCTAAGCTTCAAATACCATCTTTTCACTGTTTACTCCCAAGTTGGTATCTCCAGTCTAGACTCTATTCTACATCTCAAGTGAGATGTTGGAAAAACACCTCAAACTTGTCCAAAACTAAATTCTTTATTTCCCTCATAATCTTTCCCTTATTAGAGGGATGGTGGACATGAAGCCACAAGTAGGTACAATGAAAAAAAGAGTAGGCCAGGCTTAGGATACACATGCAAAGAACCTCTAAACCTCTCAGCCCTCTGCTACTGACCCCATAAAGTCTCTTTGTAATGAGAAGAGCCTTCCTCCCATGAACTTTATCTTGTGTGTATGTCTTTAGTGCTGATGCCCCAAATCCTGGCCATGGCAGCCACCACCATTATCTTGCTACTGATGAGTCCATGCAGTATAATAGGAAGACTCCTGAATTAGAAATAAGGGTTTCTGAGTTTTACTAATGAAGTCTCCTATTAACTCTATGACTTTGGCTAAGTAACAGCACTAGTCTGTGCCTTATTTTCCTCATCTATGAAATAGGGATTAAGATTCTGTCGCTAAGGTAACCATATAATTTTAGTCCAAACTAGGGTGTTTTTTAGAGTGAAAGGGGAAGTTGTTAATAGTTAATTATGGCAACATGCAGCAACAATTACTATCCTGGACAAACCAGGAAATATAATGACCCTTGCCATCACTCGGATCCCTTCTAGCAGTCATGAGTATGATTTTTAAGTTCCCACTAGTACAGTAAAATTGATTTGTATAAAAGCACTGTTGCACATAATTAGTAATGTATATGTAATACTAAAATAATCTGGCAATTGAAAGACTGTTCATATTAAAATAATCAATAATTACTACCCTGTTGCTATCCATAAGGTTTTCACTGGCAAATTTACAGAAGTAGATTGCCAAGCCTTTCTTCCTAGTCTGTCTGAGACTGGAAGTTCTGTTGAAACCTGTTCACCATGGGTGACCCTGCTGGTATTTGAAATACCAGTGACATAGCTTCCAGCATCATAGCAACACACAAGCTACCACAGTATGACAAACTGACAGATAGGTGGTGGATACACACACACACACACACACACACAGCATTTCTTATGAGCCATGCACTGTTCCAGACACTTTATGTATATGAGCTCATTTCATCCTCACAAAACCCTAGAAAGGTAAGTTCCATTATTATTTCTCATTTACAGATGAGGCATTTGTCATAGAAGTGACTTGTCCAGGTCCACACAGCAAGATAGAATCTCACTCCGGAATCTATATTCCTAACCACTATGTCTTACAAGATTAAGTTTTACACTTTCTTTTGCTTTTAGTAAGGATTATAGTTTTAGTATGGCAAATTCTAAAGGCTTAAAGCTGCCTCTTCACTCTGGTTTTGTTAGTTCTT